AAGAGCTTGCTCTGCCTAAGATAAAATTCTTCAGACAGGAATTACAAGGATAATCGGAACCAGGCTTTCCAAAGCCTCAGCTCTTTTGAAAGTTAATAGCCAGCATAAATATGCTCTGTGCAATATCTGGGGAAGGAGGGTTGAGGGGGAAAATACAGCCAAGGCTGTGCTGACGGGCAAGAAACATTCTGCCTGCTCTGAGTTATTATTGTAACTGATAGAAGGATGATTGTGCATGAACTCACCTGCTTCAAACTTTGTGGCAGAAGGATACAGCAAAATGAGACACATTTTGAAACAGCAGGGAGAGGAGTTGGTTGGGTTTGTAGCTAGTGAAAAGGGTTAAAGAATTTATTTTGTTGTTCTCCCCTCTCCTCCTTTTAACCTGGATCTAATAAAGGATGCTGTCATGGAAACGTTAAAGACCAAACCTCGTCTAAATTATCTGGCCTCTGCCACAGGTAATACATGTTTTGACTTACAAGGATTATCCAGAACTAAAGCCAGAGGGAGTATAAGGTTGCTGTTCATTCACACTTTTGAACTAAATCTGCCAAACAAGCCTGGCTGAAGCTGTGTTGATGTATGTCTCCACTGTATGATGCACAGTAAAATGAACGTTCAGCTTGGGTTATCCAGTTTTTCATTGTGCCTTGGGGCAGACACAGCTCTCTATGTTTTGCCAAGCAAGCCAGCATAAGGAATTTATGAAAAAAGAATAATTTAGGAAACAGAATGTTTTCAGGTTGAAATAGAAAGCAGATGCTTCCCAAGGAGTGAAGGCAATATAACAGGAACTTGTCCTGGATGAGTGGTGGGATGGATTCCCAAAGAGACGCGGGTGCCTTCAGAGGATGAAGGAGAGCATAGAAAAACACTTTGCTGCACGAGGTTTAAAATGAAGGCAGGCTGCTCCAAGTGTGATGGACCTCCCTTCCACTGCTGTGGTGATGGCATGGCAGGCAGGAATTGAAGAGGGCGGTGGAAAAGGATTAGGCACTGAACTGAATCCGTGAGGTGTGTGCTGAATGCTCAGCTCAGCCTGTATTTCTCCTGCAATCTGCTTTTCCATCATTTCCAAGGAGAGAAGCCTCAAAGACTGAGGAGAGCGCTGGGTTAGAGCCCCATCCCGAGCAGTGAGCTCACTGTGCTTTGGTCATGGAAACCCTCGAGCACTGCCCTCATTTCAGGGAGATTTAGAGTCAGACACGTCCTGAGCACTGGGGCGCTTGGAGGAGCCTGCAGGAACCTGCACAGAGTAAAACCCTCTGCTCATTTATCTGGGAACAGGTTCTGGGGAGAGCTTAGCCAGCCCCAGTGACGTAAGTGATAGCTCTGTTTGGAGTGAAAGCAGCTGGCTCTGGGGCTGTGCTGTCATTCTCCCCTCCCCTGGCTTTGCCAAGATAAATGTTCTTCTCCTCTTTACCTTACTCATTAAAACGTCTTCCCAGCCATCCCAGATAAATCGAGAACACTTTGCAGTGCATACCTAAATGGTGAAATTCAGTGATGGAATTTAATAAAGCCTCTCAGGCTGCTGATAAGATAGGAAATGACAACCTGTTAAGAGGTAAAGCTACAGTACTTCGTTATTTATTTATTAGAGCTTTAAATGGTGAAGAGATTGGAGCAGAAAAAAGACCCACTGGAAACAGTTATTTTTCAGTATTTTAAGAACTTCACCAAGTTGTTCTGTGATGTTTTTGTCATTATTTTTCATTATACATGGTTTTATGTTGTCAGGCAGGTATTTGATGAGGAAATGCAACTTATTTTTCTCCAGTGTGAGCAAACAGTTCTGGTTAAGTGTATGTGCTGGTGCAAGTGTGATAAACTACTTTCCTCAGATGTAGGAATGGAATAGGAAGTTCTATCATAACAGCAAGAGTTCAGCTCAGTTTTGGGAGTATGACCTTTGCCTGTCTCACATGTGACTGCTGATCCAGCAATTAACAGCTTGAATTAAAGCCAGCAGTGGAGAGTTGTGGGTGCCTGGGGCTGGCAGTGCCCTGCCCTGACACCCTGATCCTCCTGGTGATTCATGCAGTGCTTTGGCTTTCCCTGGCTTATAGATAGTTGGTTTTGGGGTTAATACCAGTCTTGAACTTCACCTCTGCCTGTAGTTAAGTGATTCTATCCAGGCCCCTGCACTGTGTCTGCCTTACTTGTAGTTAAAGTTACTATCTGAGACTCCTTAATGTCATGGCTCCAGGAGAAATTTCAGTAGAAAGGGAAATAACTGTGCACTCGTGGGTGGGAGGCCTGGGTGGGTTGGTTGGTGTGATGGGTTGGTCCTTGCTGCTCCCATTGTGTGAGGAATCACAGACTCACAGAGTGGTTCGTGTGCCAAAGGATTTAAAGCCCATCCATGGGCCATGGCAGGGACACCTTTCACTGTCCCAGGATGCTCCAAGACCCAGTGTCCAACCTGGCCTTGGACACTGCCAGGGATCCCGGGTCAGCCACAGCCTACAGGGTTTTTCGGGCTTGTCTGTCTTTCTGCTTAGACAAAAGAACCACTTGGAAGGGAATGATGGATAAAGCTGCTGACAGCTCAGTCAGGAGCTCTGGCTCCAGAATGGGCATTTGCATAACAGGAGTTGTTCAGTCGATGCAAATGCTCTGCAGAGCCGAAGTGAGAATGGGAGGAAGCAACGAAATTGGAGGTGTTAAAGGTGTGAAATGGTCTGAGTGGAAATCCAGGTGAAGCTGAAATCAGAGAAACTTCAGTGTCAAAAAAGCTCTGGCAAGAAACTGAGATATTCTGTCCCTTCTTGACCTTCTAGAGCTGGCTGATGATTTATCACTCTGGAAACATAATTTATGAACACTGGGAGGTAAAAAGGGAAGGGAAGTTCATGAAAATCCACTTTGTCTCCTTTGCTGCTCTAACAAACTTACAGTTCACTGTGATAGTGAGAGGAAATTATGTAGTAGCCTTTAATTGTGTGTTTTCCTCAGTTTGGGCTTCAACTAAACTTTTTGAAATACACCCACCCACAGCAAATTTCTGTAGCTGAAAGCTGAAATTCTTAGCATGTAAAAGCTGTGTGGATATCGTGTGGCCATGGAAAACTTGGATGTGCCCCTGGGTCAGCTTGAGGCCATCCCACTGCTGCTCAGGGCTGGGTCAGGCACTGAGACAACTTTAAAGCACAGGCAGGGAAGAGTTAACGTTCTCTGAGAGAAAAATGTTTTTCAAAATATTTGAATCAATTTCTAAGTGTCTTTAAAAGACAATACACAAATTTTTGAGATTAGGCCAAAGCGTCCTGTAGTTCATGTCTTCAGAATGATGCAGAGTGATAACTGCAGGAGGTGAGTTTCTGAATTGCAGACAAGTGAGGAAACTGCTGCTGTTTTGTAGTGCAGCCTGATGTAAATTACCTTTTTTTCCTTAGTGAAGAAATCTATAAATAGCAAATTATCTATTAGCAGATGGGTTGTGAAATGACTTTAGGAAGTGTCCAAGAGTCACACAGTATATTAAAAAACTCGGGATTACAGAGTTCTCAAACAAAATTACTTTGTTTTCCATGAACAGATGCAAATCTGCTTCTAAATCTGCTAATTTTATGGAAGCCTCAAATAAACAAAGCTCTGTTTGAATGTTTTAGTATTTTCAAGTCTGTTAGACATAGAGCTGAAAATCTCTATCCAGAATAGAAGCTCTGTGATTCTCAGTCCTGTGTATGTATTTAGTTGTATATATTTGTTCTTCCTAATGGAGAATTAAAATATTATAAATCCATTGTAATGTCTGTGAGTCCTAATATGAGTTATTCCAGGTCTTTTAAAATTCCTGATGAAGACAAAATGCAGTAGTTTGTTTATTTTATGATAACTTCATTCTGGGTTTAATTATTCATAAAATCACAACAAAAGGCAATATATTTTGCAAATATGACTGGTTAATAGTATGGCACTTCAGTAAAGCAATCTGATATTGAATCTTCAGTGAGGAATGAGTAACTCGCTTTTATTTCAATAATAAATCATGTAGATTACTGCAATATAGATAGTTAAATTCTGCTCTGTTCTCATGCTCCAGCAAGAGCAACAAATGTATTTCAGCACTTGGTAAAATGAATGGAGTTTCCACCGAGGGAGTGAATTAAAAGTACGTTAAAATTTCCCTGTTTTATAGCAGTGTGTTGTAATTATCTGGTACTGGATGTATTTCCTGCCAGTTTAACTGCACAGATCAACCCTCCAATGTCACAGAGCAACTCTTACACCTAATGCAGCTCTCAGGACTCAAGGATATTTTAAGATTGTTAATGTGCTGCATAAAATGAAAGCATTGCATAGCCTGAGGGCTACTTGCAGATTGTTGTGGTGCCAGTGCCCCATGTGTGAGCAGGAGCTGGGCAGGGTTGGGGGGGACATAAATGGCTTTTTTCATTAGCCCCCTGCACCTGCCGTGGCCCCAGGTCGGGTTTGGGCTGTTCTTCCCTGAAGGCTCGAAGAGAGCTAAGTGCCCTAAGTCTATGCAGTAGGTATAGAGGATCATAGAGGATCCAGCAAAATCCTGTCTCACTGCAACCTGCAAATTTACATCTTCGGTGGAAATCCACAAAGAAAGATGTGGCAACTAGAGCAGCTTTCTTCACGTCCATCTCTCTTACTACATCTTAGTGTCACAGTTACATCTCCCAAACCCTTTTCATTGTATTTTTAATCCAGATGAACCATCCAAGGCTGGGGCACTCTGTGGTAACCCAGCCTGTGTAGTGAGGGCACTGTTAGAGCAGCATAATGACTAAATCAACTTGCATCAAGTGGCCAAGCATGATTTTTCAGAGATTTTGTTCAGAGTTGTCAAATATGGAATTTTCTTCAAACCATTTATGTCATTTGTAGCATTTAAAACTCTTAAATTCCTTCTGCTCTTCCCCCCTGAAAGACATGACTACATGATCGATTATGTCAAGATGTTAAGAAGCAGATCCATTCCATACAAAATAATCTAAAAAAATCACTGTATATGTTTTGTTCAGGTTCCACGAAGGAGTTGATTGAGAGCTGCTGTGGAGCTGGTCAGCAGTGGGCTATAGACAACGGGGAGTGCACAGAAATCCCTGTAAGTGGAATGGATGGTGATATTTGCAGGTACGTAAGGTAAAACTGAACATTTTTGGTTAGCATAAAGAGTAGCCCTTGAGAAGAAATCCAATGTACTTCGTGGGATGTCCAGGAGACTGGGAACTGTGTCATTGATTGTCTGAATCATTTGCAGACTCATGCAATACTCATGGCTAATTAGAAGCCAGAATTTCCCCCTCCATTTGCCCAAAATCGAATCTAAATGAAAGCTTTTTAAGGTTTCTTTTTGTCTCTCCCACGATCAGGACACAGATTTTTTTTTCCATTTTCTGCCCATCTGTGGAGTTGCAGTTGAATGGGAGGGCAGAGCTTGGCTTCCCCTGGGCAAGTGCTAAATGGCAGTGTCATTAAGGGATGTGTTTATGGTCCTCCGTGAGAGGCCCCTGGTTCTGCTGGAGGGGGGACCACACGCCTGACGCTGCTGCTGGTGTCAGCAGCACCTGCTCTGCGAGGGAGCCAGGTGTGCTCTGCACTGGAGGAGGACAGGGATGGCTGCAGGGTAACCTGGACCCAGCACCCCACGATCTGCAGTTCATCCCATTCCCTGCCCACGAGTCTGGAGCAGCTCTGGGGAGGGATGAAGACAAACTCACTCCAGACTCACATTCTCAAATGATCCCGTCATTTAGAGCATTGCAAAACTTTGGCATAATCCCTTTTATCGAATTTAGTATCACACCTTTCTGAAGTTACTGAGAGATTGAAATCCTCCCCCCTGGGATCTGGCATGACACAACTGACACATATCAACTGTCTGTGAAGTAAAGGCAGATTAACAATTCCAGCCTCGGCCTAAGTAGGTGCAAATTCAGTACATTAATGAGTTGCACCTGCACATCTGAGGCTGGTTTTAGATTAAAACGTCAGATCCTAGGTGTTTCAGTCCCTGTGAACCTACTGGGATTTAAATGAGTAAGAGATCAGGGTTCAATTGTCTGACTTGTAAAATTTTATTTGTGATCCTGTTTTAAAGATTTAAGCCCGCCTACAAAAATTATGTCTAAAGAGAACATTTTATGTGAAAAAGTATTCAAGTCTATGGCCTCAGAGCCTGGAAAGCAAGGACAAAACCTGCTGCTGCCACTGGGAACTGTGCCAGTGGGCAGAGCTGGTGACCCTGCCCCTCTCCAGCCCCAGGGCACTCTCTGTGCTGGAGCCCTGCAATTCCTGCAGCTCCCAAGAGTCTGCTCCAGCTCAACTCACTACCTAAAGATTTTAAGAAGAAGAACCACAAAATCCCACAATGGTTTGGATTGGAAGGACTTTAAAGATCATCCCATTCCACCCCCTGCCGTGGGCAGGGACACCTTCCACTGTCCCAGGCTGCTTCAAGCCCCAGTGTCCAACCTGGCCTTGGACACTGCCAGGGATCCAGGGGATACATATAGAAAGTAGATACTGATTTAAAAGAAAGTTCCTGTTCAGCCAGGATAGTTTCCTGCGCATGTTCGGGTGTTCCAAGAGGGGTAGTTCAGGTGGTGCTGGGATGTTTCCAGGGCGTGTCGGAGGTGCCCCTGGGCTGTGTGACAGTGTGACAGTGTGGTGGCCTGGCCTTGCAGGATTGCCCAGAAGCAGTGCTGCGTGTCCACGGTGAGGGAGAACAGCTGCCTGGCCGGGATGCTCGCCGCCAAGGATGGGGACACGTGTGGCCCCGAGGACAGCGACCCCTGCGCCGGCTCCTCCTACAAGGTGAGCTCCTCTGCTGCTTCTGCAGGTGTGGCAGCTGTCCTCGCCTGCTGTCCTGCCTCCAGCAGGCATCCCTTCCTGCATTACGGTGGGGCACGGGAAAGATGAAGTTGCAGGAACGTGGCAGTGAAACGGTGCTGTTTGCATTTGAGTTTGCAGCCTCTTTTAAAACTTTTAAAACGGTAATGTTGTTTTGAATTGATTTCCATCTCCATTTCGTAGACCTAACTGACTGTATTGCTTCTGCTTCCTCGCTTTGGAAGTAGCTGAAAAGTCCATTTTAGTTTTTATATCTATAGTGTAGAAGGATTTAGAAAATGATGGGGCAAAACTTAATTGAAGATGTAATGTGAAACCCATTACTGGGAAGTTTGCTTGGCTCCAGTGTTGAATCGTGGCCCCCTTTCCCAGTTCTACACAATGCTGGACTAGAGGAACAAGCATTTAGATGATGATGGAAGCTTTTGTTCATAAATAGAGGCAAACCATTAATGGACAGCACAAATCACAAATCCTGAGCCACAGCCTCCACTTAGATAAATGAGATTTGCTTTGTGAGAACCAGTGGAGCCAAACCAATTTAAACCAGTTTGAAGATTCAGCAGCTGGCTTGTCCTATTTTCACCAGAACAGTGCCTTTCAGAATTCATTTCCCTCTGATCATAATTTACATAGCTATAGCTCAGCTTAAGTGCAGCTTGGTTGGCTCAGCAGGAACCTGATTAGCTCTGTCTGTTCTTGTGCATCGCAGATTCTTGCAGGTAATTGTTCACTGGAAAAGCAGAGAACATGGACATCTACCACAGAGTTTAAGGTTTAATTAGCTGTGCTGATGTATCATCTTCAGAACCACTGTTAATTTGGGTCTGAAGTCTGTCATTAGAGTAAAAGGAGAATTTGTGCATTGGGAAGGAGACATTAATATGTCTGAAATGTGACAGAATTGTTATTCTGAGGTTTTCACCAGGGGTCGTTTGCATGCCAGGCAGAGCCAGGCTGTGGAGTCAGCCTGATTACACATGCCATTCCTCAGGCAGAGGTGGGGAGGGAGAGCTCCATCATTCCTGGCTGAGCTGAAACCAGTGACAAAATACTCCCGTGGAATGGTTCCTCATGCCAAGTCCAATGGGATTTTTCCTTTAAGATAAACCATCTGAGACAGTAAAATTACTGAACAGCTTTGCTCACCTATTTAGCTCATTTAGGTCTTGAGTCATTGCAGCTACTGCTTGAAAAAAGATCAATAAATATTGAGACTGTTGAGACTTTAGCATTACAGTATATACTGCTGTAATGTAAAATAATCCCACTTTGCACTTTGTAATGCTTTGCGTTACAAGAAAAGTTTTCTAATTTTATTGTTGTTAAACATTGTTTCAGAGGGGATCTGGCAGAAGATGCTGACAGTCCATAGTGATGTTTCCCCTGATCTGTCTGCTCTTAGTAAATGCCGTGGCATAAATCAAAAAAGTTTCTCTGGAAAAGAAAAGATTCATTAATTGCCCCCAAAGCCAGCAAGATATTTACACTGTCTTGCCAAAAGCCAGGGTTTTACCTCCAGGTTACAAACATTTGTAGGTCTTCAGGCATTTTAGATGTTTTCACTTCTTGCTTCAAGGTGAATGTGGCAGTGCTGGTTTTACAGATCCAGGAGTTCAGCCTGTGCTAAACAAACCTAATCTTATGGTGCTTTAACTGTTATTTACTTTAACACAAATAGCACAGGCTTAGGGATTTTTCCTAGTGAATGGAGACTCCACCATGGTAAATCCAATTATGTAGGATTCCAGCAAATAAAGTTTTGAGGGGAATGAAGAAAGCTGTGAGCCAAAGAATGGTTCTCAAGGCGAGTTTCTCAATTATAAGGTAAAAATAGTCATATTTGCTATTAAATCAGTTGTAGAATTCCTGGGAAGTTCAGAAAGCAGCTAACAGAAGGTCAAGGCATTCCAATTTTTGTATTTTAGAAGGAACAAGTTTTTCCACTGGAAAATGAGACAGTTTTGTTCACCTGGAAAATATGTGAGCTCAAAGATGTATGACTGATTTAATACTCTCTGTCATGCATGCACATGGGATAAATTGTGAATCAAAGTATGACTGAAAGACGCCAGGGTCTTCAAGGCAAATATTGCATATTTTACAGTACTTCAGTAAAAACATGCATTATCCTGAACTGCTTCTACTTTGTGGATTGAAGGTGACAAAACTTAGCTAAAACAAAAAAAATGCAGAAAACAGAATTTTTTTTCATAAAATTTTGAATTTGAGGGTTCTGGATTTGGGAAGGATGGAAAGAAGAATTTTCCCTTTTCTAGCATGGCCACAGTTAATTACTGCTAATTTGGTTTTGGGTTTCTTTTGCTTTTTTAATATTCTCTTGAAAAGATTATTTAGCCTATTTAGTGTCCAAAAAATTTCATCCTCTTCAAGGCCCATACTGTAAATTTTTCACAAATGTATTTGGGCATGTGAAGGCAGCTTATTATGGCTGTGCATATTTGCAGACGTGAGTAATGTCTGCTGTTTATGATGTTTGGGGATTTCTCAGATTAGGAAGCAGAGCCATAAAATGTGAGCTGCAGCCATCAGTGCTGGCTGAACATGCCAGGCTGTGCACTGAGTGTGAAATGCTCACAAAACCCCAGTGCTGTCCTGAAAAAAGGCACTCAGCAGAAGAGTTTCTGAGCATTGAGCTGGCAGGGGATGCGTTTCCCTGCTGGAGACAGGCTCTGGATTAATGGGAATGCCCACCTAGGATTTCTGATGATGAAAAGCAATCCCTCCCCGTTTCCTTACTCCTCACAACACTGCCTTTCTTATCTGCCCTCAGCAGGTCAGGGATTTCCCTCCTGAGAACTGCTCTGTCCGTGGAGTTTCTGTTGACAGAGCTCCTGCTGCCAGTTTGAATCCTGCCCCTCATATCCTGTGTGTGACACCTTTGCACAGGGTGAATGTTTGAGCAGGCTGGACTACAGACAGTTCCAGTATCACTGTAAACTCACAGTGAGTGGATGACTATCAAAGGAGTTGCAGTGGGAGAGACTCTGTGCTTTTCTGTCAATGAAACAGATGTTATTTATAGCTAAAATACATGAACAAATAAATAAATTAGGGGTGAGAGAACACTTAAATTGAAGTGCACAAAGGCCTCTCCAGGTGAGGTGTGACCCCAGTTGTCTCTGCAGCAGAGACTCGCAGCTCCTTCGCTTGCCTGCTTGGTTAGGTATGCACTGTGCACCCACAGCCTGGACTTTCTCAGTTTGGTATTATTTATCTGATGCCTTTCTGTGGCCTGACTGTGCAGTGGATTTGTCTAGGACTGAGTAAAGCAGTACACAGTTTTTGTCTGCCACCTGCAGCAGAGCAAACTGCAAGAGGTGGGAGATGAACGTGTCAGCAAAGCTGCTGCTCAGATACTGTGAGGAAGGAAAGAAGAGGCAAGTAACTCATCAAATACAGCCTGGTCTCCCTCCAGCCAGTCTCAGCAGGATGCTGTCCAGCACAGCCAGGTAATTAAAGGTCAGAGCAGGTTTGCAGTGCAGCAGTGCAGAGAGGAGAGTCTTTACTGACACCTGACAGGGTTGGGATGCTGCTGACCCTCTTGTCTGTGCAAGTTATTTCCAGTTCCTGTCACATTGCTTCAAACTGATGGTGTTTTGAGCTCTAATGCAAAGAGGTGCAGATCTGTGTTATTTTGTTTATGATTTTTGTTGATACTACTCACAAGCAAGGCCTGTGAGCATAAGCTGGGAGGAGCTGATCTGCATCACCACTCCTTCCTGGCATGTGGAGTTGCTGAAATCACTGGCACAGCCAGATTTTGTGTTTGTTGTGGCTGCAGTTGATCGTTGGTGCAGAATGGCAAAAACAAGCACAAGTAAAGCTTTGATATTTCCAACTGTCCGCACTCCAAATGCTTTTCCAGATGCTCCACTGCTTAGGAAAGTGCAGATCAGTTCCAGGTGTGTGTGGGCTCATGCCTGAAGCTGTTTGAGATCACAGAATAGAATTGTTAAGGTGGGAAAAGACCCCTAAGATCATCAAATGCAACTGTAAACCCAGCATCACCACCCTGCTCACCACTAAACCATGTTCTTAAGTGTCACATCCACACATTTTTTGAACACTTCCAGAGATGGGACCCACTGCTGCCCTGGCAGTTCTTTCAGTGTTTCCATGTGCCGATTGCTGATGCTGCCCTTGTCTTGCAGCAATGCTGTGATTGCTGCAGCCTGGGCCTGCGCCTGAGGAGCGAGGGGAAAACCTGCGAGTCCAACATCAACCTGGGCTACCCCTGCAGCCATGTGCTGCTGTCCTGCTGTGAAGGGGGGGATCACTTTGTGCATCCCGAGATCAAACGGCATCCTGAGCCTTTGCCGACGGTGACCCCCGAGAAGGGTGAGTGTCCATCTGTGACTGAGACACTGCACACACGGCTCTGCCTCACACACACCTCCAGGGAGCTGCTGGACGGAGGAGTGCAGCAGGAGCACGGCTGCTTTCCTCTCAGAGCAAGCACAGATTTCCTTGTTCCTAAAGCAGGCTGGGAAAAGCAAAGAACGTTTGTCATCATTAAATATACCTGAGACCTCACTGAGCAAGGAGCTTTGGCTGTGTGTGCTCAAGAAAAGCTGACTGAGAAAATGTCCTGGGGTGATTTTTATGATGCTGAATTGTATCCCCCTTCATCTGTGTAGCCCAGAAATAAGCTTTGCACCTTTAAAACTAAGAAACTCAATTCGGGATTAATTTTAATGTCACAGAAAGCCTTGTCAGACTTGGTCAGGAATGGAAGCAGGTGGTACTCCAGCTTTGGCTGGTGTTTAAAGGCAGAAGGAAGGACAGCCATGTCACTGCTCAGTGGCTCCCAGGCTGATGCTAATGCTAATACAGGAGAAGCTAACAAATTGTGATGTTGGAAAGTTTCCAAACCACGTGGATAACTTCTTCTCCTGAAATTTGAAATTCAGTGTGGGGCCAGTTTCAGATGAGGCTCAGCACAGTACCTTAATCCAGATGTCACTGAGAGTAGGGTTGGCAGTCATGTGAAAGGTGAGCTTTTCACCTCCCTTGTGGCTGTTTCCCAGTGGCTCTGTAAAACACCTGTCCCTGCAGCCTTAGGGAAGGAGGAGGTGTCCCTCCAGCACAAAGGTGTTACCTCCAGGATGGGTTCCTTTGTTCTTATCCTTGCAGTGAGTGTGTTGGGTAGATCTGACTTTTATTGTGTGCCCACACACCCTGATCTGTGCAGTCCTAAGGCCTGAACAGCTGTCACAGATGTTCTGCTGTAGTTCCAGAGATGTTCTGCTGTAGTTTCAGAGAGGGAGGATCACCACGAGGCGCTGTCCATCAGCAGTGAGGCTGAGCTGTCCAACAGCCTGCCTGGAGATGACCTGGATGAGTGTCTGCTCTACGGGGGGGAGCTCTGCCAGCACCTGTGCATCAACACTGTGGGCTCCTACAAGTGCTCGTGTTTCCCAGAGTTCACCCTGCAGGAAGATGGCACCAGCTGCTCTCCAGGTGAGAAAAGGGACATGAAGGGCATATACCTGCACTCATCAACTAAGCTTTTCTGTAGTTTCTCTGCAGCTTCTCTGAAGTTTTTTTAGTGGGTGTTGGTGCATGGACATGTTCTGTAGAAATTGTAAAATGTAAAAAATTATAATTTAGGAAACTCAATTATGGCTTATTTTTGTGTTTGATGGTATGGGATAAGAGTGGTGTTTCACGTGTTCTAATCAAGAGTGTTTGCACTTTTCAGAAGAGGATTTGTGAAGATTTTTAAAGAAATACCTGTTCTTCTCAGAGTAATTTTATATTTCACAGCTCGGTTTTCTTTAGATAAGTTTAGATAAATTTAACTCAGTTCAGACAGACAGCATTGCTTCCTGAGCTTTGATTTTTATCTAAAATCATTAACATCCTTCAGCGATAACAAGCTCTAAATTTATCTAGTGTGGTGGAAGTCTGGAAAAGAAAGTCTATTGTGTTGCAATTGTTTTGATGTGTGGAGTTCTCCAATGGCATGATTTCAAGTCAGATAACCCAGAAAGTTGAAACCTCTTATTAGTTACAAGTGCTTTGTGTTATTTAACAAGCAAAGGCAGTATTTCCATCCAATAACAGAATTAGGCTTCTAATCCTCTGTCCAAGCCGAGCAATGAGCATTCTCTATGTCATCCTTCTCAATGTGCTGTTACAGCATTTACCTCAAGACTGCATTTGACTGTTCCTGTGGCAGCTGTCTGCTCTGCTTATATTAAAATTCTGGGAAAGGAACCTAATCCAAAAGAAGCAAAGAAAAGTTCTTACTTTAGCACTGCAAAATTTGGCCTGGTTGCTCACCTGGGGCATATTAGTGGTTTTACTTTCCTGTTCTTCTCCCAGCACTGCCTCGGCTGAAGCTCTGGGTGAAACATCCTGTGCTGTGGGAAGTCATGTTCCTGCAGATGTGCAGGACTCTGGTGCTCAGGGCTGTGCCCAGGGGTGCAGAGGGCTTTGCAGAGCTCAGCTGGGGAATTGTGACAGGGGCAGGGGACACTGTGAGGCCTCAGAGGTGCACGGCAGGGGACAGGGGCTGGTGCTGCCATTGCTGTGCCAGGCTGAGGGAGGGTCAGGGAGGTGATTGGGAACCCCAGTGCCTTTTTTTGGCTGAACCATACGTGGCACAGTGGCCTTTCAGCTCTCCCTGTTCCTCTGTGGCTGTGCATATCTTGGGCATTCCTGGGGAAATCACTCAGGCTTTGCCCCAAGCAGGTGACTTTGGTTTGTCTCTGCTCCACAGCCTGTTATATGCCTATGCTGCCTTCATTTGTTTCAGAAAATCACTCTTCCCATACCCTAAACCTGCACTGCAGTCACCCTTAGTCATTTAAGGTTGTCGCTGTTTTGTGGCTCACACTTTGCTCCATGTGACACGTGTGACACTTGAACTCAGTGGGGACAGAACACGTCCCTCTTAAGGGAGAATTTAGGCCTATGGGCTTAGGCTTCTGCTTTGATGATACTGATAACCTGGGTTACTCTTACTGATGTAACAGAGCTCTTTTTTTCTAATACCTTTAACATTACTGTCTGTTGAAAATATTAGTGGCAGACAGCAATAGTCACGTTTTCCATTTGGCTGTACAAAAGTCATTCCAAAGTACCCTATGCTTGTAAAGATGTTTGTTGTTTGTCTGTGTTGAAATAGGATGTACAGGATAAGGTCAAAGGCTTGTTTTGAGTTTGGAGGTTTTTTTTCTATCAAATATCAAATGAAAGACAGCCACTGTATTTAAAATACAGCAAATGTTTCAAAAGTGAAATTAGTACTTTCTAGTTTATTTGAATATTATAGTGCTTTACAGAAGTTATTGTCAGCCAGGCTCTCTGATCTGTATTCATGATGTTTGTTTCTTCCTCCAAACCATGATGGAGTGGGATGAATGGGATCACCCCTTGCCGTGGGGTGTCTGGTAGGGATGGTGCTGTCCCTCATCCTCCCTTGCCTTGCAGACCCTGACAGAGGACAGGTGACCAGGCTGGAAGCTGAAGCCACCATCCCTACAGTAGCTTCTCCCTCCCAGCCCATCCTTGTGGTGTCCTTGCAGGAAGAGCAGGACAAGTGCAAAGGTATGTTGGAAGTGTCAGCTGCAGAGGGGTGTTTAGGGACAGAATAAAATTCCTCTCACCCTTTCTCCAATCTGATTTCATTGCACAGCTTTTATCTGTTACCGCTGGCAGAAGGCTGAGGAATTGTCAGGGGAAACCTGAGGGAGGAATCTGAGGCTGCTCTCTGCCCTCAGGGTTATTCCCCAGCTGCTCCTCAGGCTGGGGTGGGCAGTGCAGCTGTGCAGGGTGGTGTGAGCAGTGCAGGTAGGAGTGGCCAGGTGCGAGGGTTGGAAGCAGCGCTCAGGGCTGCCTGGACAGGTTGGTTACAGGCTGATTCCCCTTGCCTGAGCTGGGATCGTGCCTGGCTGGCCTGGCAGTGTGGAGCTGCAGCTGATCTGTGCTGGGGGTCCTGATGTATTTTGCAATTTTGTGTTGTGCAGATAACGGCCCCTGCAAGCACCTGTGCAACATTGTGGAAGGAGATGCTGTGTGCTCCTGCATGGCTGGGTACACGCTCATGGCTGATGGGGTTTCCTGTGAAGGTGAGTGCTTTGGGCTCCCCACAGAGCCATGGTTAATATTCGTGTACCTCACACCCCTGGGTGTTCCTCGTTTTCAGAACTGGGAATTGCAGTGCCATCAGAGAGACCATTTGGCAGAAGGAACCCCAGTTCTGCCTCACAGGTACCTCCTGAAGCACAGTGCAGCTGTTACCTGGCGAAGTGAAGGCAAGCCTGGGCTGGTGCTTTTTTCCTCTGACATTGCAGGCTTTTTTCAGCCCTTCCGGTTTCTCTTCCCCTGAGGTTCTTCCACAGGCTCTGTGTGCTCAGCTGTGGACAGGCAGCATTCCTGCTGGGAGCAGGAGCAGCCAGCAGGACACAGGCACCTTTGCTGTGCTGGGGTACCCTCAGAGCACAGCACTGCCCTGCCATCTGCTCTGCTTGCAAAGCTCCTCTTGCCTTGGAAACCTGAGCTCAGGGAGGCTTCACCTGAGGCAGGACGTGCCATGGGAGCTGGGCCAGCTCCAGGTGTGCACTTTGCTGCAGCTCTGGCCTGCCCAGTGATGAGCAGTGAATTCCAAAGCTGCATCATCACCATCCACATTACAGAAATTTTGAATGGACGTTCTTGAGTAGTGACAAGAGATATGTTTGCCCAGGAAGGGTTTGGGGGTCAGAAGCAATACCCTGTGACATACCTTAATTATGAATCTCTGAGTAAGGGAGCAGTAACAATGAAATGCAAGCAGGAGCTCCCAGTGCTTAGAATTGCTCACAAATGATCCACATCACTCTTAATCTTAGACCTTATTGAATAACAAATCATTTTCATGAAATTCCAGACAGTCTGTGAAGAAAATGAGATTTTAATATCACCAGATAAAATATTCACAATGCACTGCTTACTCAAGTGTGGTGGAAGCTAATTTGATTAATTAATGTCAGAATCAAAAGGGGCATTTCAAGGCAATCGTTTTCCTACAGGAAATGAAAAAATTTGCATTTGTCAGTGGAAGCAGTGAGTTTAAACGTTGGCAAGGGACATTTACAATCTCTTTTGAAGTCAGGATCTGATGGTGAGGGTGGTGGTGCACCGGAGCAGGTTTCTTTCAAGGAATGTGCACTGTGTCTGTGTGAATGCCTGCCTGTTTTTAAGGATATTTCTTTCTGGCACAGCAAAAGTACACGAGTGTGAGCAAGGACTGAATGATCTCTGAGGGTTTATTCCAGCCCTCTTTCCAGTGTAACACTGCATGTATTACAGCCTGGTGCTGATGTGGGAGCTCCAGCACACTTCATCTCAGCATCCTCGGCGTGAAAGAAATGTTGTTTCATTTCAGGAGCTGTTCTAATGGAGTTCTGTTTTTCCCTTCTGGCTGCCCCGTGCTGCTGTAGATTTGGATGAGTGCCTCTCAGGTGCTCAAGCTTGTTCCAGCGGACAATTGTGTGAGAACACACTGGGATCATTCTCCTGTGTCAGCCCCAGTGGGATGTGTGCAGAGGGCTTTATTCTCAACAGGCATAGGAAATGTGTTGGTAAGACGAGAGGCACACGCCGTTCACCACAGCATCACAGCTCTCCATGCTCTGCAACGCCTCCACACCATTGTGCTCCAGGCTCTCTGGCCATCCCTCCATCGACATCTCAGAGCCAGGCAGTACAAACACGTGCACCATTTGCTCAGCCCTTCACCTCATGAGTTGTGTGCTCTTTGGCTTTTTCCCCAGCCATGCCTTCTCGGGGTGCAGATCATGTTGTGCAGAAGCCCCGAGCCGCAGGTGTGGTGACCCAGTAGCTCTGATGGCTGCAAACTGAGCTGAGGGATCAGAGCAGCTGATCTCTGTGCACAGTTCAGTACTGCCAAGTTCCAGACACCACCAAACAACAAAACTTCAGAAATGCAGTTCGAGAATCTGCGTGAGTGTGGGCACTGGAAAAGATCCATTCCAAAGGGAGGGCATTTTAAAATTCACATGAGTCCTTTGTTAATTCTGGCATGAATTTCTTTGTGTCAAAGTCAAGGATGCATCATAATTCTGCTGGATCATCCCTGCTGTTTGACTTCATGTAAGAAACCAATCCATTTTTACGAAGTGTATTTATGAGGATTTAATTTGCTTCCAGCAGCCAGCTATGTGAAATAGTTTCTCTTTTGGGTACTTTCCTAGAGGCTGGGTTAGGAGGCAGCAGCAGCCTTGCCTGGATAAATGGGGCACCTGGAGACCTCCAGTCATCCATGAAAGCATCAGTGCCCATGACTGTAGTGCCTGTGTGAATGCAGTGCCCTCTTCCACCCCTGTCCTCCTCCCTACATTTATAACACTGTTTTTCTGACCATCACAGCTTTGGGGTTTTTTTTGTCTTTAAAGCTCTGTGATCTCATTAACAAGCACCATGTGGCATTTGGGCACGAGCAGGAAAACTTCTACAGTGTCAGAATCCAGAGGAAAACTGTGATTTACCACCTTTTGGGTGTTCCTTAAATTCTTGACATTGGGTTTTTATTTTTTAGTTATTATTATTTATTTTGAAATCAGAGGTACTGGTAAGAATGGAAAACGAATGAAAGGATTTGGTTTCAAAGAGATGGCTGAGAGAACAGCACTGGAAGGAAGGAGGCCTTTATGAGACAGCTCAGACTGAGCTGAGGCTGGTGCTGGAGGTCCCCAGGGTGTGCCCAGAGCCTGCTGCAGGCACCACCCTCCTGCACGGGAGCCTGGCAGCTCCAGGAACATCCCTCCTCGAGCTCTGCTCCTGACTCTTGCCACTGAACCCCCGATGTTTTCCCTGGACTGTGCAGGAAGGATGGGTCTGTCCTTTTTCACCTCTCCCAGGAGTGTTCTGACACTGAACCAGTGCCTGTGTGTCTGCAGATTTGGCAGGAGCTGCTGTGGCAGGTGCCAGGTGCTTCCATTGGTTCACGTTCTCCCTCTGCCCCATGACATTAGAACAGTTTCATTATGACTGATACCAGATAAACCTCAGGCACTACTCATGAAAGCAAAGACAGCTCTCATTTGTGAAGCCCTTCTTCCTCACTAAACACCAAACCTCTGTGTTCCTCTAAGGCAGGGCAGTTTTTACAGGTATCCTTTTAAATAACCTGAAAAACTTTGGAAATTCTCTTCTTTTTTTTGGTATGCTCTCCACTCCCATCTCCCAGCTCTGCTCCGTGTGTGGTGCCAGCAGAACATTTGCCATGTTTAACATTTTTTCCTACTTTAGTAGTCCAAGGGGAAAGCCACAGGCATACTGTGGTTTGTGTTTTACTCGCTGCCTCCTTCTCCTGAGGTATTCTTTTCCAGCCTAACAGCTTTTGTTCTCCACCTTGAGCTATCCCAAACACCAGGAGAAAACCTTTGGTAATTAGTTTGCAAATTCTTGTTGGTTTAACGATGTTACTCTTTGCATATTTTAGGGACAGGAGAAGCAATCTTTGCACAGCCACAAAGCAGCTGATAATCTTTGATCTGTGGAATTTCCTTTAGTCAGGGGCAGGGGATTCTAATTACAGGTGCTTTCAGGAGCAGACACCCAGGATTCCCAAAAGCCAGCCATGCAGAAGAGAGGAGTCACCAGCTGTTTAAACAGCTCTCACACGGCACCTCTGTGTGTCTTTGGGAGCAGAGACTGAAATGTCTTTGGGCTGGAAGCTACATGTTCTCCTAAGATAAGAGCCAGGCTGGGTGATGCTTTTCCTGTGACTTCCAGGCAAAGTCATTCCCACTGCTCACTGACTGCTCTGCTCCTGTCCTTGCTGTTCTCACCTCAGTTTCCCTCCTGACAGGGAGCAGGACACGGTCTCTTTATTCCTGGACCCACAGGGTGGGTGGTGGCAAAATAACAAAGTGCCTGCATTGCACAGATATGTCCCATAAAACAGAGCTGAGGCGATTTGAAGAGAAAAAAGTGAGAAGAAACTCTAGATGCAGGACAAGAGAAGTGCATTTCACTTTTCTAATAGAAGGTGTAACAAAATGAGTTTTTGATGTCAAAGTGCATATTGAAATAAATAGCACTAGGTAAATGTTGATACTCCTCTGAAAAAATGCCAGCTCTTGGATGCAACAGATGTGCTCAGGGATGGTGTGTGTGTTGCTGTTTGCAGCAGCAGATCTGGGAGGGATAAAGAGTTATATGATTGCAATTCATTCTGGGTTTTGCTGACATAAAGTGAGGAATGTTGCTGCCACGCACACAGACTGAGTAGATACCTCAGAAATTAACTGTGTGACTTGTTTTCAGTATAGCACTGAGTTGTTTTTCCTCTTTTTCCCGTCTTTGAAAGTAAATATCATTTTACCCTCCCTCACAGCCTTAATTGGGTTGGATGAATCCCACAGCTGGTCCAGTGTTGGAATAAACAATGTTTGAGACTGAAAACATAACTCGTGTTATTCCCTGTTCTCTGTCAGGCATCTTACTGCCTCATGGAGTTGGCTTCCAGGACAGGAGGGAGACAGGTCCTGGGCACTCTGGATTCTACAGAAAACGTAGGGATTTGTTTAGAAAAATAATGAAACTGGGCATGTTTGCATGATAAATGACATGGAGACTGTGGTGGGCTGGCAGCTGGCCTGATGGTACAGTCAGAGGTTCTGACTGACTGGGCAGGTAGAGCAGAGCTTTGTAGGGCCATGGCTCAGGGTTTAAGTCTTGCAGCTCAGCCCACCTCAGAGTCAGGCTCTAAAGCTTGTCAGTGTCTCACATGCACAAAACTTCTATTGAAAACAAGAATTCTGCATTGTAATCTGCCAATTTCCATCATCTGAATTTCCTCAAATGTGTTCCAGCCAGTTCTGCATAGTTTTTCAAGTACTCAGAGTTTCAAAAATTGAATCAAAAATATAGACCAAACATGAAATCATACTGGATTTTTTTTCCTCTGTGAAATCACAAATTACTTTTTTTATGCCTATTTCTTAATATTCCACCTGCTGATCATGTGAAATGCCTCCTACCCTCTGTGGTTCATATTTCAGACAAACATATTTTCTCTTTTGACGTGGTGCTGGACTGACTCAAGCTCATGAGCTGCAGTGTGCTGCTGTCAGTTTGTTTATGTGAGAGGCCTTTTTGTGGTTTGCAAGAACAGATAATCTCAGATCTGTGGTACAGCCAGCAGAAAGTCTTGCACTGCTTTGGGTGCTGCTAAGTGGCATTGATGGTTTTCTCTAAAACAAAATTTTTTAAAAATCAAAAATTTTAAAGAACTAAGACCAAAGTAGGTGGACTACAGCACTTTGTATTCATCTCCCAGCATGAGAGGGGGTTTTGCTACCCCCACAGGATCACTTGTGAAAATACTCCTCACTCTAATGAATAGAAACTGGGAAAGTGCACAGGCATTAGGGGGACATAACCCCAATAGGAACTTTGGGGCAGGCAAGGACCTGCCCCTCCGTGGAGGAGCTCAAACTTTGTGTGGGTCAGGTAGAAAGAGATCCAGGGGATGGCCAGGACCTTGCTGTGGATTAACCAACTGCTTTGCAAAGCAAGTCCACAGCACGTGAAGAGTAGCCATGGCAAATAGAGAAAGAAAAAAAAAAAAAAAAGTAAAATAGGAATAAGCGAGAAGTGAAATGTAACCAAGCTAATGCACGTCTTGCAAAACGCAGTGCACAGCACCAGTTATTGGAGCGTACCAGGAATTGAAGGTTTTTGGTGCTCCTCCTCATTTCTTTGCTAGAAAACCAGCTGACACATTTTTAAAGACAAGAATTTTTTCAAATGGCTTTTCCTGTTTTTGTGCTCCACAGGGGAAGTCATATATCTGATGTACTTATCTGAGAATGAGGTTCTACAGCCAAAATGAAAATCTGATGTAACAATACTTGCTTTATTGTGCAGTATGAAAACAGCTTCATGCACAAAGAAGCCAGAGGACTAGTAATGGTTCTGGTCACATTTGGCTTTTGTTAGCTCTAGCAATTCTTAGCTTTATATAGAACTGGGAATGTGTGAGGTTTTGTGGAGGTTGGCTAGAAAATTTCCCAGTCTCTGCCCCTTTTTGTTGCTTCTAAGTATTTGCTCATCATGCTGTTCTAGCTTTCATTATTAACATAAACCTGAATTTGAGACGATTTCATCCAAGCCTATCAAAACATGTCATTTTAAAGGTGTTTCATATTCCTTCCCTAATTGTCCCATGCTCTGCAATCTTGTGTTCAAGTGATTTTTTTAAAAAGAACTTTTCCACTACTTCACCTGCTGAAATCAAATCTCTTTAAATCTCTAAATATAAATTTACAAACTTGATTGAGCCATCAGGGTTCCTCTCCGTGAGTTCCAGCATATCCAGTTCCAGTGATGCATTCCTTAGGGATAGGTACCAGCACGATCAGCTCAGCAGGGCAGCCTCAGCTGCCATCCCTGGAGCAGTGCCACCCCAGCAGCCCCAGTCAGCCTGGCCTGAGGCAGCAGGGCTGGGCAGTGGCCTGAGCTGTGGAGGTCTGGGGAGGAGCAATGGGCATTAATCCCCTTCTCATTCCCTTGCCCAGGAGTTCCCATCCCTTCGCCACCAACCAGCTGTCAGTCCTGTGCCCAGCCTGCCTTTCCTCACTTCTGTCCATCTCTGGCCCCAGTGCCTGCACCATCCCCATGGTGTTTGGGAAGAGGGGAGGAGGAGGAAATCTCTCTTTGATTTGTGTCTCTTCAGTCACTCTGGGTTAACTAGAGACCCCGGGCTAAAAACATGTTCCATCAGAGCACTGTAACAAAGCCTGTATTGACTGTCTTTCATTTGAGCTTTCTGCTCCTTCCAAAAGAGCAGGAAGAGGGCGATGCCTTGGCATCCTGTGGCACTGATCTGTTCCCTCTTCCTCACAGACATCAACGAATGTGTGACAGAGAGACACACCTGCCAGAGGAGAGAGCACTGTGTCAACACCATGGGCTCCTTCCGCTGCCTGCAGGAGCTGAGCTGCCAGCCCGGCCACGAGCTGAAGGACGGGGAGTGTGTGGGTAAGGAAAGTGTTCTTGAGCTCCTACACAGAGAGAAGGGAAGGGATTGCAAAGCATTTTGGTATTGCTGCCCTGTGATACCAGTGCTGCAGCTAAAAAAGGCTGCTCACCATGGAAGTGTTGGGCTTTGCAGGCTCCTCCTGCACATTCGCTCCTTTGAAATGGTTTCCAGGCATAACTATAAATTACCCAGAACATGGATGAAACCTTCTGAACTAGGGTTTGCCATCTCTCTGATGGAAGAATCTCCCTTAGCTCCTCTGCCTGCCTCAGCTTATGCTGTTTGCTGGTGATTCCAGCAAAAATTCCCAGCCTGAATGGATCATGGAGCTGACAGCTCCATCCTTCCTGTGTTAGAAACTCTGTCAGCATTTATTTACATTTTACATTTACATTTAACCGTTTGGAATGGTCACGAGGTTAAGAAGTTATTCTTCATCCCCCCGTCCTGGTCTCTGGAGATATGTAACAAAGAAGGGAACATCAGTGCTCACAGCAGCACAGAGGTGTGCAAGGGACACACGGGCCCTGCCTTCAGGGCAAAACTCACTGTTATTTACACCTACAAGTTTTACGGTTTCCTGACAGCTGCAGTAAGAGATGCCTAAGGAAAGAGCTTATCTTTTGACATAGAACATAAAGTTGTAAAATAGAAATTTTCAGAAATCTCCCTTTATAAACAGCTATCATAAATAAAGCTTGGTTTACTTGAAGAGGCTGTTGTATCAATGTCTTGTTCTGTTGTCTGACTCTAGAGCATTTCTAGCATTTATTACTGATCTAATTTACTTTCTAGTCTTGAAATTAGATTATCTAGAGGATTATAATACTTACAAATTGTTTTACAGTAGCCTGTAAAAAACGGCAGATATTTTGGTATTTGTGGGTTGCAAGAGATGCTGTGAGCGAGGCAGTAGGGACCTGAATCAAATTTGCTGCAGGACCTGACAAATCCTGAAGTGATGTCTAAGAGCACACACATTTAACCCTCAGATTTCCCATTGGTAGCACGCATCTGTTGAAATAATGCCTGCTAATTTCCTTTCTGGAGGATGGCTGGCCATGAAGGCTACTGAAAAGTAGAGCTGAACTCACCCCAGTGTGGTGTTTTGGTGTGATGAACAGATATCGACGAGTGTGAGAGAGGAACTCACAGCTGCAAAGTGAACTTTGTTTGTCAGAACACAGAGGGGTCCTTCTACTGCGAGTCCAAGCAGCGCTGCATGGATGGGTTCCTGCAAGACCCTGAGGGGAACTGTGTGGGTAAGTGTGAGCAGCACAGTCTGTGCCCTGTGCTGCGGCTCCTGGGCCTCTCAGGAGCTGGGCATTAACCCCTTAGGTGTGGAGTTTTCCTCAAACCCTGCTGCGAACTTAATGTCGACACTTCTGCCCATTTAAAGATGTGACTACTTGCATTTTGAATTTGGAGCCACAGCAGACCTTCATCAGCCTTACCTTTGTAGCATAAGAAATTGAAGAAAAAGAAGGGACAATTGGAAGAAAGCAGACCAGAATGGTTAAATAGCATCTCTCACTGCTCTATTCATTTTCTTCACCAGATATCAATGAATGTACGTCCCTCCCTGAGCCCTGCAAGCCAGGATTCAACTGCATTAACACGGTGGGGTCCTACACATGCCAGAGGAACATGCTGAGCTGCAGCAGAGGCTACCACTCCAACGAGGAGGGCACACGCTGTGTCGGTGAGGGAAGGGCGAAAATCTTACTTCACTTCTAAAGAGATGTTTGGGGTTACCTCCAGATTCCTAAATGTGTTTGAGGAATGGGAATTTTCTGTCCCTGCAGCTCTGGGATTTGTTTGTGCTGCAGGATCCTGATGTCTCTCATTGCTCTGTGGAGTTTCTCTTGGTGTGCTCAGCAACTGGTTTTGGCAGCAGATGAGATTCACTGGCTTCCACTCTGGACAGAATGTGTTTTAGTTACTTATTAAACTCATCCTGTCAGGCAGGACCACAGTGCCTTGGTGTTTTTTGTAGTACCTCCCTGGTACTAGAGTGATCTGCAGCAAACGAGGAATGCTGGATTTGGGAGCTCACAAGAGTATCACCAAGTGGATGTTTTGTGTAGGGATGTTCTGTGCAAGGTGTTCCCCATTACATCCACTTGTGAGGGTGTTTAGGATAAATTCTCATTGTGTGAAAAGAATTCTGAGGAGAATGAGCATGTGAAATATTCCTCTAGGCTGGCATGCAGCTTGATCCTGATTTGTATTTGTCCCGGTGTGTTGAGGGTGTTACTGACTCAGAATGGCAGATTTCAGCACTTGTTAGCATTTGTTTGTAAATGAGCACAGAAGGCACCGAGGGCTGGGAGGCTTAGTCCCTGGTGCCCAAGGCAAGGCTGGCTGGATGTTCTCCAGTTGTTCCGAGTTACACGAGATAGGAAATCCTGAAATGACAGCGGGTAAACAAAACAAGAAATGACACAGCAGCAGTTTGCTTAGTGGTGATACCCCAGTGATTTTTACCTACCTTCCCCTGGAATAAAGGAAGGATGACATTAACAAAATGTGTTCTGTAGAGCTGCAGGGAGGTGGGAACCGTGTTAAGAGCCATTATATTGCTCATGGTTAGCAACTTGTAGTGCACACCAGTGGTACAGCTAGACCCCATTTCCACTGATATTTCTGCATTCATCTTCTTGCTCTGCATTATCCTCTACCCCCCATCATGGTTTTACCCCCCAGACTATCCAGACCATGTGTGGCCAGTGGAAAGGTGGAAAAGATTTGGAAGTAGCAGATTTGGAAGGAACAGTTCATGTGTGCAACTGAGGAAATTGAGAAAGCTTCCAAATACTGTGTTTTGTAAGTTCAGGGCAAAGTAGTGCTGTAGTTCTTTGCTGTCCTGTTAGTCTAGGATATTTCAGTTCTTACCAAAAAAAGCCCCCAAAGTCCTGTCTCTCTCAGTTCTGTGCAGTTCTGCAGCTGCTTTTGATCAGTCCTTTCTCAGTCAGGTCACCTGGGCTGGCTATGGTTGCACCAGCTGGAGTTTGGTGACCCTGAGGTTGTTTTTAGGGTGACCACCATGCCAGAGTCTCCCTGAATGGCTTTTCCCCACTAGGCAGCAGTCAGCCCTGAGCAGCAGTGCCAGCAGCTTTGCTCTGCATGCCCTGCAAATGAGGGCAGGGGTGTAGTCCCCACCTCTGGACCTGGTCAAAATCGTGCAGGTGTGGCAATTGGGAACGTGGCTTACTGGTGAATGTGATGGTGCTGGACCAACAGCTGGACTGGTGATCTTGGAGGCCTTTTCCAGCCTTAATGATTCTGTGATTGGGTTGATGGCTGGGGCAAGTTATGTTCCTTAATTTCAGATTGATGGCACAGAAAGAATCCAGCTTTTCTTCCTAGTTGTTTCTAGAAAAATGTGACTGTAAATCCATGAGAGAGGAGGAAATTGCCATTAATCCTCTAGCATCTCTGCTGTAGAGCATAGTGAGGTAACACAATGCACTGTGATTCCTGATGGTCCTCTGTCTCTGCTTTACACCACTGACGAGGCTGTTCAGGAGCAGGCATAAGGAAGCTTCTCTAGCTTGTTTTTTGGAAAATATAATTGATGTTAATTGGTGATTTCTCTGTCTTTGCTGTGTGCACTCTGTCCTTGATGCTGGTCTGTGTTGTTTGGTATTTTTTTGAATGGCTTTTTTTAAGTAGGCAGAGAGTAGAGAGAAGAAAGAAAAAAGCATATGGTCCTAATTTCCTCTCTCTGTGATAAAAACTAGTATCTATGAGGCATTACAATAGCTAATTAGATTCCTGAATCAGATTTATTCACAGTAGTAAAAACATCATCTGCACATGTTTCTTCAGCAGAATGACACTTGTAGGGTCATCTCCTCTATTTGGAGAATACATCTGTCTTTAAAATGCTCAGATTTTCTGATTTAGCAAATGAGTTATTAAAAACTGCCTCTTAGATTTAGCTGAAAATTACTGTAAGTGTGAAATATGGCACAGTTCTGATGGTGTAATGCCCTAGAACTAGTCTGAATGCAATGGAATACAGAACTTTGGACAAACTAATGAAATGGTTGCACGCATGAATTCATTACAAATAAAGCTGCTACTTTACAAATTGTTACCTGCCTTAGAGACTTCCTTGCTCTTGGTGCTACCTCTGATTAAAAGAAAACGAGGACTCAGTGTTCTGGCAGAAATCTCAGTTCTTGTCAGTAATTCCTGCATGGTAAAGGGCATTCCCTGCCATCCCTGACCCTGATGCCAACAGGGGCTGTGTGGGTACAGCCTCTCCAAGGCTATTGTTTGATAGAGAACTGCCCAGGAACCCTCTGAAATTATTTAGTGCTCAAATTTATGACTTCAAATAGGGCAGTATGGCGAATTTCCAGCCTTAGAGATCCATCCTAATGATTATTACATGAACGGGGATTTGGGTTGTAAAAGTAGTTGAAGATGTGAACAATAGGAAAAAAGCAGGATCTGTTGGCTTAGGAAGCGGCAGAGCTTGGGATACTTGAAGTAATACACAATTGTGAGAGTTAATCAGACTTTTTGATGCTTCTTATCACAGATGGTAAAAGGGATTTGTTAGATGCTGATGAGCTATTTAGTCATGTTGCAAGTCTTGTAAATCAGCCTGTATTGAAAACTCTCATCTTCCTCTGGGGATGTTTAAATGAGATTGGAAATGATGTGTGTTAGTGAGAAGCAACTAATTTGTTGGTATTGGATTTTGGATGAGAGGCCATGGGGAATATCAAAATGGGAGCTGATTGAGAAAAGACAAAAGATCAACATTAGGAGACAGCAAAAGGTAGACAGCAGGAGCAGACTGAGAGGGCAAATGGAGATGAAAATAGCAGTTGCTCTAATTGAAGGGATGAGCAGAATTTCTGGCTGGTTCTTGTTTTGCTTTAAACGGCTTGGTGTGACTCATAGAATGGCAGAACATCAGACTGGGGGGGTTTAAATGTCATGGTTTGATCAGAATCAAAGTGTATTTATACCAAAACGCACAATATACTGAGACAGCCCCACTGCAAGTCCAGTTACCATTTTCACTTTGGAGGTAATGCTCTACTTTTCCCAAGTTTGACTCAACTGCTCTGAGAAGAGCATGGAGGGAGAAGCTGGTGATATTTCTGCTGTCCAGTTTCTAATCCTGCTATTCAATGGACCTTTTTGTGTCTCTTTATAAACACTGTTTTTAAGCAAACTGTACTGAAGCAGCTTTTCCTGTGTGTCTCTGCAGATGTGGACGAGTGCCAGACTGGGGTGCACCGGTGTGGAGAGGGGCAGCTGTGCCACAACCTGCCCGGGGGCTATCGCTGTGACTGCAAGATGGGCTATCAGTACGACTCCTTCAGCCGCAGCTGCATCGGTAGGTGGGACACGGGAGGGGCTGGGGGCTCCCCTGCCTGATCCCTGGGCCCCGAGGCAGTGCTCAGCACCATTGCAGTCCGAGTTCTGCAGTGCAGGGCCTCAGGAGAGGATGGCATCACCTCCGGAGCTGGGCTGGGCAGCACATCCAGAACTCTGGCACTCCCAGCTGGGGTTGGTTCAGCTGCTGGCTTCACCTGAAGCCATCTGCAGGGATGGAAACCCCTGTGGGTTTTGCTTCTGCTGCCGTGAGCATTTGTCTGTCTGAAGGCTCCACCACTCTCCTCCCAAGAGCCATGGCACAGCGCTTTGTCTTTCGTCCCTCCCGTGCACCGATTAGAGCTGGGAGTCAGACAGCCTCAAACCCCGGGCTGCAGCACTTCACACTCTGCAAATCAGTCTCTAACACTTGCAGAAATACCCCCTGCACGTCGTTAGCTCATGTCCCTCGGGTGATTGTTTGCTTGTTGTGCTGGCAGACATCAACGAGTGCTGGAACTACCCCGGGCGCCTGTGCCAGCACACCTGTGAGAACACCCCCGGCTCCTACCACTGCTCCTGCTCCTCCGGCTTCCGCCTCTCCTATGACGGCAAGCACTGCGAAGGTACCAGCCTCCTTCAGCACGGACAAGGAATTGCTGGGAGAATTAGGGGACTTCAGAGAAGGCGTTGTTGAGGCAAAATATAAAGATAGTAACCTTTGTGTGCTCAAATTTGCTGACACTGGAATTGTCAGATGAATGTCACCAAGTTTCTCCTCTTTCTTCCTTTCCCCATGTACTTTTTGCTTTCCTTTCAGATGACAGAAAAGGAGAACAGAACAAAGTTAAAACAGGAAACCATTCAAATTTTGATAAAGGTGAAACTTGGTAGTGGCCAAATTTACAAAAAAGGATTTTGAATTGAATGGAAAATTTTTGAGATCGCCATGATTTTTTTTAGTGCAACTATTACATATTTTAGTGAACTGAAACTATGAAGTCTGAAACAAATGTCTGCATGTGTGTTTCCATTGGCATGTGGAGAAATGAAATTCAGGTGCTACAGACATGCTCAGGCTTCTTGGCATTCTGCCTAGAGAGCAGAAAAAATAGGGACAAATTAGTCCTTTCTCACTCTGACTGGAAGGTAAAGGTTTTCAGGGACAGGGAAAGGTGGAAGAAACTTTCTGAAGCACTGTGACCATCACTGTGGGTTTGTTTTTGGATGCAGATGTGAATGAATGTGATAACAGTCCCTGCAGCCAGGAGTGTGCCAACGTTTATGGTTCCTACCAGTGTTACTGCAGGCAAGGCTTCCAGCTGGGAGAAGATGGGCATTCTTGTAAAGGTAAGGTGCTGCCTCACCAGGTCAGGGTGTGTGTGTTTATCCTCTGCAGAAGAGCTCTCTGACCCTCAGCAGCCCCTGCAGGTGATGCCTGAGGATGGTTGTGAGTTCCAGCTGCCATAGAGGCTGCCAAAGGTCTCTCCAGCTACTGACAGTGCAGTTCAGTGGGTGGGGCACACCTGTGGGACTGCACAGCCAGGGAGCTTGTTCTGTAATGGTTTTGTGGGAACAGAGCTTATGGCTGAAGAAATCTGGTGGGAAGATATTCCTGTATTGCATCAGTGAACACCTGTACTGCTGAGTGAAGGTTTGCTCTGCCAGCTGTCTGTGGTGAATGAGGAGCAGAGTGATCAGAATGGAGAAAGGAAGGGTTTTACCTTTTTAGCTGAAGTTACCAGCACTGACACACTGGAGAGTCTCTGTTTAAGGAATGGTGAAGAAGCCAACACCCTTCCTAGCACAGGGAAGCCTGGCAGGAAATCCTAGAAAACTTCATTGCTGAAAGGGTAGTGAGGACCTGGCACAGTTTGCCCAGCGAGATTCCACATCCCTGGAGTGTTCAAAGCCAGGTCAGCCTGGTTTCGTGGAAGGTGTCCCTGCCCATGGCAGGGGGTGGAATGAGCTTTCAGCTCTATTCCCGCCTACACCAGTCTGTGATTCTATGATTCTGTGAAATTACAGAGGCACCAGAGAGAGAGTGTTTCAAACTCAGATGTTCCCCACCCTCATTATTCCTTCCCATGAGTGTGTATTACTTGCAGCCAGTATTTCTGGGAGCAGGCTTATGTTCAGCATTTCAGAAAGCTCCAGAGCAATGCCAGACCTCCATGGTTGCCGTCACGTTTAGCAATGTATTATAGATGTATCAGGTGAGAGTCTCCTGGTGTGCTGCAGCCTCCCTTTGCAGATCTGTGTTTTGTTTTGTTCTGTTTTGGTTTGGTTTGTTTGACTCTGTTCTTTCCGCAGATATTGATGAGTGCACACAGAGCGCTGGTATCCTCTGCACCTTCCGCTGCCTCAACATCCCTGGCAGCTACCAGTGTGCCTGTCCTGAGCAGGGCTACACCATGGCAGCCAACGGCAGGACCTGCAGAGGTGACAGCACCTGGGGGCTGGGGCATCAGTACCCTTGGAACGAGCTCAGCCATTGCAGCTGCTCAGTCGAGTCTCCGTGTTTTGTGTCAGTCACTGTTCAAAAGTCAGGCTTCGACAAAGTTGCCAAAGTATCTGCAAAGTCGGTTTTCCTGTGCTAGAAGAAAGTGCTATGGCAGCTCAGCTGTTAGTGTGAGCTAATTGCTTAAATGAATTCCCAGGGAGCCCAGTTCATCCTTCAAACTGAGGCACTTGATTACTCACATGAGCTGTGTGTGCACGTTGGCACAGCACTCAGGGTCGGGGATTTTAGAGGTGCCAGATGTAGAAATCTGTGGCTGCTTTTATGAGTTACAGTTTTCTCCTCCAGAAAACTGAGAGATTAAATGTTGGAGCTGTAATTGGAATTTGGCCATCCAGCAGTGTCACCTAAGCTTAATCCTGCTGGCATTAATAAATGTTAGTGAAATGACAAGTACCCTCCCCTCACACACCCCTTTTCTTCACAATCGTGGAGATTCTTCTGGGAGTCTGATGGTTTTCATGTGGTGTGCAGCTGTGTGGTTCTGAGCTGAACCCCCCTTTCCAACGGATGCACTGCCTATGTAACCTGATGGAGGATCTGATTACCTTTAGTACTCTGCACATTCCTGCAGTCCTTACACAACTGCCAGGCATTTCCTGCCCTTTCCTGCTCTTTCAGGAACCCTTCATGGAACTTTGGTTATGTATCTCCTGTGCTTGAATTCTGAATGTTAATGGCAGTGAATTTGCTCTGTGTAAATCATGAGCAGCATGAGCATACTTAATCCTGATTGTGGAGCAGTGAAGCAGATTAAATGACAATTAAAATCCTTTAAAAACATTTTAAAATATTTTAAAATGTGTTTTTAAGTATGATTGCAGTAATATCCACATGCACTTAAATTCTTAGGTAAAATTCACCTTTAGAAAACTGTAGCTGTTACTCCTCTGGTTACATCCCCTTGTTTGGAGCTCTGCAGGTCTGTAGTTACAAGTCTGGGCAGATACTGAGGTGTCTCTGAAAATGTGGTCAGAGGAAGGCTGGGTTTGTGTTGGCTCTCTTGAGTGCAGGGAGATGATCTTGGTTTCCCCCAGCTAAAGGTCTTGCTCCAGTTGCTCATCATCTGACCAGTTCTGAAGAGTTACTGGTGGAATGTTCCTTGTACCCTTTTTTCAAAAGATGAGTTGTGTCTCATGGAGAAGTGTCTCAACATATGGATCTTTTTTACAGAAACTGCCTGTGGTATTTTGCAGCTCAGCCAAAGTGGTGCAGGGAGTGCTTTCATGACAATGATTGCAATATGGAAGAAATTTTCTTTTCACCTACGGGCACTGCTGAGAATCAGCAAGGGATTTACTTGACTTTGATTCTCTCCTATTTCCTATTGTATACTTTTCTTTGCAAGACTTTTAAACCACCCGGTTCGGTGTGTGAGATCAGCTCTCATCCCAGGGGAATGAAGGGAGTGGAAGGCTATGGTTTCTCTCAAAGAATCTCTACTCTGTGACAATTGGCAGAGCTGCAGGGCCCTACACAGTCCACATGCCTCGTCTGTTAGAGTTTATTTCATTTTAAAGCCTCCATGCATTGTCTAGACGTTTGGGAGTACACAATGTGACTGTGAAGGCTCTGCCAGTGCTTTCTGCTCAGGCTGGGTCCTTGTCACTGCATCTGGTTTTCAGCATTGTCAGGCCCATGGCTTGGGCTTGTGGGTAGGCTATTTAGGTAACCACGTTTATACTCTGAGCCATAAAGTGTCTTTGAGCTTTAAGTGCTCTTTATATTATGTCTTCTGTAATTACATCTCATTATTATGGGGAGATATTTGTATTTAGGTTTTCAAAACTCTGTGCCATGTTCTGAAGTGTTGTTTCAAGTTCCCATGTCTCACATCTCCTGGATCCTGTAGGACAGCAGCAACCACTTTGCATTTGCTTGCTTTAACTCCAGATTTATTTTAGTTGCTCTGCTTTAATCCAGAGTTACCTTCATGCACAGATGCATTCTTTTGGCACAGCCCAGCTTTCTCCAGTCTAAAAAAGTCAATGAGAAGGTTCTGTTGGCTTTTAGTGCAGGTTTGTTTATTCCTGAAAAATAATAGGAATTAATTCTTACTTTTGAACTTAGAACATCTTTTTCTTGTGTTTCTTCTTAGATATTGATGAGTGTGCAATAGGAACCCACAACTGCTCAGCTGCAGAGACTTGCTACAACATCCAGGGTAGCTTCCGCTGCCTGTCCTTCGAGTGCCCTTCTAACTACAGGAAGGTGTCTGACATGTGAGTATGTCCTTGGGGCAGCACCAGAGCCAGCCCAGTGCCTCTGGTGTTATGTGGTGCTTAGTCTGTGGGTGTGTGTGGGTGCTCAGAGCTCTGAGAAGCTGCTTTGGCACCTGGAGTTCATAGACCTTCCCCATGCACAGTTTGTGTCCTTCGTTCTCCCGAGCCCTAGAGCCCGCGTTTGCCCTCTAGCTGCTGTGGGAGCAGCAGAGGTCAGAGCCTTCAGCTCTCCTTGCAGCTCTAAAATGGCTCTGTTTATAATTAAGTTTTAAAGTAAGATCTTCTGTGCTGTTTGTATCAGAGCAGGAGCAGCCAGGCTGCTCAGTGCTCCACTTTTACAGTGGGTTTGGGGCTCCCTGTTTAATATTCAGATTGCAGTTCCTCAGGGAGTGTTGAAGGGGAGCAGGATACTGAGCTTGCCAGGCCACAGGGTTCTGGTAATGGCATATCCCCAGCTCCTCAACAACTGGGGTTCAGGAGCCCCAGAATCTCCCTACCCATTTCCTGCCTCGGTAGCTGCCAGTGCTTTGGGAACTCATATTTAGTTGCTTATGGCTTAAAATATAATTTTCCTGCCTTACAGAACTGAGCAGCTTTGCCAGTCGAGGAGTTTGTTTCCCACTCCCATGTTTTAGGTACCTTTTCAAGGGGTCTCATTCTTATTTCCTTGGAGCAGTGCCCCAGCCCTGTCAGTGATGAACCCTGGCTCCCCTTCCTGGCTTGATGCCCTTTCAGCCTGGCTCTGGCTCTTCCTGGTGGAGCTTCCCCATGCAGCTCCCCACGCCTGTGCTCTGTTACACACCCAGAAATGTTCTCTCCTCAGGCTTCCCTGCTCTGTGAGTTACACACTCAGAAATGTTTGTAGGCACGGGGAGGACAGAACAAGCTGATCACACACTGAGCTTTGGGACTGCCGTTTGTCCTGATGCCTTTTGGGACTACCTACAAACAGAGGCCAGACAGAATTAAGGGAATAAAAGCAGTTCTATTTATTGAAGGGCCCTTCAGGTACATTTAGGGCAGACAAAGCCCCCCAGGGGCTACACCCAAAATGGATGACGGGTTATGGGTTTTCACACTTTTACAAGTTTAGTCCATTTGCATATTGGGGGTTAATCCTCCAATTACAGCTCCAGGTAATGAAGTAATTTACCCCAAGTTTGCTCCCCCCAGCTCACTTTTGTTTCCATCTCTTGGGGCCTGAGGAAGTGAGATGTCCTTGATCCCCAGGCCTAGAGAGGAATTTTTGTCTGACCAAAATGGGAAAGCACCAGCCAGCACTGTATATGGAGTACACTAAAGAACTGCAGAATTACAGATAAATGAAACACAGAAAAGCTAAAACCCTAAGGCATCTGTCTCATCCTCTGCAATGCCCCGAGATTTTTGTGTTTTTCCCTGCTTCTCCCTGGCCACTGAAGGTGCCTCACTCCTCTTTCCCAGGAGGTGTGAACGCATCAGCTGCTTCAACTACCTGGAGTGCCAGAACACCCCGGTGCGCATCACCTACTACCAGCTCAACTTCCAGACCAACATCGTGGTGCCCGCCCACATCTTCCGCATCGGGCCCTCGCCCGCCTACGCCGGGGACAGCATCGTCCTCACCATCACCAAGGGCAACGAGGAGGGCTTCTTCAGCACCCGCAGGCTCAACTCCTACACGGGCATTGTCTACCTGCAGCGCCAGGTCAAGGAGCCCAAAGACTTCCTGTTGGACGTGGAAATGAAACTCTGGCGGCAGGGAACCTACACCACTTTCCTTGCCAAAATCTACATTTTCATCACAGCTCATGCCTACTGAAGCCTGTGCTGACGTTGGATTTTATTGGTGCTATGCTCTTTAGCTGTTCTACCAAAGCTTAATACCGTTGAACTGGCGTTTCATGTATCTAGCCTTTATATTATTTTTCTATCGTTGCTTTAAACTTTCTTATTGGTTGTGTAAATTAAGTTAATTTTTATCTTTTTATGTTCTGTTTTCTTATGCAATTCTGTACATCATCATCTGCCAATGAACGAAGGGTAAGAAAGGCAGTGCAGACCTTGTGATAAATGCTGGGACCTTTTCTTAGCAATGATTTTTAGGTGTAGTCACTTCTGCAGGGTGTTGCACTAGAGAGGGCAGGTGTTCACATGGGAGTACTGGGAAAAAACCTGGAATGATTTCTCTTTCTGACACAAAGTTCTGGTTTGGCCTCACTGGGATGTCTCTGCTGAGGTGCTGAGTCCAAGGCCATCCATGGACATTGATGGTGACCCCACCTCCTGCTCCCGGGTTATTTTCCTCCTTCCAACTTTCATAATATATTGCCTTAATATATATAAAAATAAAAGAAAACTCCACCAGTGAAAAAGTCTATGGACGAGTCTTGCTTTAGTAGGAGTGCTCATGTGCTGAATATTTGCAAGACCAAGGCCTTACCAGAATGTTAACACTCTGAGTTAAAAGCTCACATTGCCATTTTTAGTAGTTGTCTTTAAAGGTGTTGGTGTTCTCTGTTCCTCACTCTATAACACGCAAGTGCAGAGCTAAAGCTTTGTAATTCTCAAAGGAATTTCCAAGTGGAAATAATGAAATAATAATTATTGCTCCTTATTTTAAAGCTTGGTCATGTCCCTGAGCAATAACTTGCAATTTCAAATAGATGAAAAGGGGAGTTGCTTCTCTACTTCAGCAAAATGCCTCCAGTGGTGTTGCCAAATGATTCAGAGAAAAATGCCAGTGAAATTGGTGGGTTGTATTTTTCCATTTAGAAGAGAGCACAAGCGAAGTTTTGAGCTCGATTTCCTCTGATTCTTCAGGAAACTGGATGAAGTCCAACGTAGGAGGCCAGACCTGGCAAAGCGTAATATAATCGAAGTATTTATTAGAATGTAGAAATGAATATCAGAACTTCTTTGTGGCTGTTTTCTTTCTTTTTTTTCCTTCCCTAAAAAGCTCCAGTGTCGCAGTTTTCTGAGCTTCCTTTGTTTCAGCTGTAATTATTCTGCAAAATGTTCTAAAGGAAAAACATAGCTACAAGATATGGATGTTCTATTTCTCTGTAGTTTAATAATCTTAGAATCCCAGGTTGGGTGGGACCTCAAGGATCATCTGATGCAACCTTTCTTGGCAAAACAATAACCTGTTCTCTTCTGCAGTCAGTCTTATTTTGATCGGTGTGTACACAAAAAGAAATGGAGAAATTAAATTTAACACGTTTTTATGCCATATTCAGCAGCTTTATTATGTTGTAAAAATTGCATTTCAAAATCTTGTAAACATCACCTATATGGTGAGAGTTAATGTTCTGTATTCACTATATCCCAGGCCAGTCTCTACCACTTCAAGTCACTCCTTTAATTTGGACATCCTTAAAATAAAGGGCAAATATTTCTGTATCTCAGTTCATAAAATCTCATTAGCAGGGAAAAATTATTTATGTTCTCCAGCAAACAAGGACTATCTGTGAGCTTGTATACATCAAACTTTTTGGTTTTTTCCTATAAAAACCATTTAGTAAAAGATCTTCTTCCATCTGTCTTTTGTTTTCCATAGGTAACAGTTTTGTAAGCATGTAACAGGGACATGCCAACTGAGAAACACATGTTTGTGCAATTTGTCATTCTAGTTAATTCCTATCTTACAGCTCCAGGCCTTCCAGATCTATCCTGCACACGTTCAGGGGTGACACATTTCACCAAGCCCCACTGGAGCACGTCAGGAGTCACCAAAACCCAGTTTGATGAAGTTTTCCATCAGCATTAGGATTTGATTGAGCACAAGTAATACCCAGGCCTCGACCGTGCTTCTTGTCAGAGAGCAAATGGACAAGTCATTTGTTACTGGGAGACCTTTTGCTGACTGAAACCAGCCACAGTCAATCATATTAAGGATCTGGCAGTTTTTAGCACCGGCTCTTCATTTTCTAGACAGGTAATTGATAAAGAAAGTTTTAGTGAAGGCTTTGCATACTATTAGGAGGAAAATGCTCTGCTAGAAGAAGGCTGTCTTCATCTGTGGTTGGGAAAGGTTGGAAAGGGTTGCTCGGTGCAACCAGTCAAAGCAAGGGGAAGGATTTCAGGAGGTAATTTCACATTCTTCTGCTTCCAGATTAACCAGAGGAGGGTTTTACATTTTTCCAACCCAGAGAGCTGTCCCTGACAGTTCAAGGGGGAGCAGGAGCAGTCAGCACTGCACCTTTGCTCTGTCTTGGGGCAGCGCCCATGGCTGAACTCACTCACAAGCAGGATGTGCTTGCATGTGGTGTCAGTGGCCTGGAATGGGAATTCTGGTCTCCTTCAACTGGTCCAGCTCCCGAAGGCCCAGTCCCCATCTCCAGGAATGTTCCTTGCACTTTATTTGGCCGGATAACCTCTGTGTGTGTGTGTGTGTGTGTGTGTGTGTGTGTGTGTGTGTGTGTGTCCACGTGCACAGGAGGTCTCCATGGAAAGAATTCAGGCCTGGGCTGTATTCCTTTTTCTTTTCTTCTGAGTAGGTTTCATTTACTCCCTTTGCTCCTTTGTGGCCACCTCACCCCTTGCCTGGTTGAGATGAATTAGGAACAGCTACACAAGAGCTGTGCAAGCTGATAAACTCAGGAGGAAGACAACAGCTGCAAACTTCATAAAGAATTACAGCTGACTTGGGGCATCTGTTCTATAAGTGTAAAAACTCAGATTATTCGTGTGTTCCCCAGGATGGAAATGGCCTTGGTGTGACCTGCCTGAGCAAGGCCTGCTCTGCTCAGCTCTACTTGCTCCTGCCTCAATAAAATCTGACCTGTCTGCACTCTGCTTTGTATTCCTTGGGACACGCGGTGATCCCAGAGACAGCAAGACCAAATGAGCCGTTGGAAAGAAGAAGAAATGTTCCTCTGTGTGTTTGCTGGAAAACTGAGTGGGTCTATTCCAGAAAGAAGCATCAGGTTTTCTTTGGACTGGAATGTACATAACAGAGTTGAAATAGCAGGACAGGGGTGAGATGGATGTTTTTAGCTTGTATTTTAAATTGTTCTCTTTCTGGAGCAGGGAGGAGGTGATTGACAATCTCTTTGTGTGTAAATGTAAGTCTGTGGGTCACTGCAGGCACTGGCCAGCCCATGCCAGCATTCCTGTGTGAGCCTGATGTAGGGAAAGGCTTTGGATGGCTCAGCCTGGGCCTTGCTCTTTCCCTCACACTGGGGGACCAGAACAGGGGAGGGAGCTGTTAATGGGCTCCAATTTTTACATTTCTTCCAAGATATCCCAAACAGACTTTCATTCTCTGTTATTTCTCTGTAACAGTTAGTCAGTTATATCAATTATATCAGATGTAGGACAGAAGTAAATTTCAGACAGATTTTATGGTAAGAAGCTGTAATAAGGGCCATTCTGCAGTATCTCTTCAGAGCATGAGAGCCTCTTGTGCAAAGGTCCCAGTGCCTCTGTCAGCTGATGGCCTCTTGGAGAGCAAGGGAAGGGCTGAGCCCCCTCCAGCCCTGTTCCCTTAGGCAGCTCCTGGCACACAGATAGCTTTGGCACACCCTGGCCATGGTGTGCCACACACACATTGTCCTTCTGTGTCCCTCTGTGTCCTTCTGCAGACCTGTCTCACACCTAGGGAGATGGTTTTCCCATTCACTTGCCTTTTTTTGACTTTGTCTTTCCTTTGCTCCCACCCATGCCAGGGGAAGAGAAAGTTCCAGCTGTGGAGAATTAGGATTCTGGAGTAAAAATAGATTTTGAGGTAAAATACAAAGTGTCTTCACACTTCCAGTGTTCTCTGCATTACAGAGACGTTCATTTTGAAGTGGCTACTGAAAAGCAGGATTTAATTATATCTGGTTTCAGTGATGTGAAGCTGAAGTCACAAACTCGAGCCTTTTGTCTTCTAAAGCACAGTTCTTTCTCATACACGTTCTCTTCCCATAAGCTGGGGCTCCTGTTTGGGGTTAAAAATGACAACATCTGCAGTGAATTTTCCCTTTTTAGCAGGGATTGGAGAGGAAGAGGATGCCATTGTGGTGCCTGCCCTACACGGGGGGGGGGGGGGGGGGTGGGAGCAAAGCCTTTGTACATAAAATAAAGTTCCTGTGTGGCAGCCAAGAATTGTGTTCAGTGCATAAATGCACAGCAGGATGTTTGAGATCCTTGGAACGTGGGAGGTGCCATGGTGATGGCATGGAGGGGCTGAACTACTGCTGCTGGGGCTGGCCTGCAGTCAGCAGTCTCTGATCTCAGTCTGAGGCCAGTCCCAAGGGACATAAATCCTGGGCTCACTCTGGGTGAAGAATTGGTCTCAGGTGAGATGCCTTGTGCTTACAAGTGACCCTGGGTCAGGTTAGTGAGCCCAGAATGTGTGAGAAGGGAAATGAAATTGGTTCTGTGCAGGGTTCATTGCTGCTGTCCAGGGGTCCAGTGGTCTTCTTCCCAGGGTGCCACGACCTTCCTGGAGAGGTGTACAGCAGGGATGTCCCAGGGGTCACAGGCACATCCCTTAGCAGTAAGAGACTTCAGGCTCTAGTGACTGCAGTTCTAGTGGCTTCAGCTCTAGTGACTTCAGCTTTAGTGATATCAGTTCTGGTGATTTCAGCCCTGGTGATTTCAGCTCTGGTGGTTTCAGCCCTGGTGATTTCTAGCTCTCCTGTGAAGACAATCCTGGGCGATACAGGGATAAAGGACAGGAGTCTCATATTAGCGTTCCACAGAGAGCAAAAGTGAAAGGGTGCCAGGAGTGAGAGCTGCCCCAAACTGGGGAGAAACTGGAATTTATACGGGGAAGGCAGGGGTGGGGTAGAGCAACAGGGCAAAACAAGGGAAAGAGAGCAATAGGGTACAGGTTATTGACATGAAGAAACAGCATCATGGCAGCTTTCTCCTCACCACCAGCTGTAAGGGGACTCACTTGGGAGTGTTTTTGATCCTTTTGGCCTTCAGGCCTCGCTCCTCCACAGGAGCACAGGGAGTTCCTGTGCTGAGGGCTTATTGTTCTCCTCAGTTCATAAGCTTTGGTTCATTGCTAATAGCCTGTATTCAATCTCCCGAGGAAATACCGAGTTTCTGAAGAGAAACACTGATTATGGAAAGGCCCATCTGAAGGAGTCTGAGCTTTCCCCAATAGAACAAGTTTGGAATGCTGTCCTTTCTGGGGCAGGGTGGAGGGGGAAGATGTAAAATCTAATTTTATTCAGGAATAATACTCCAGTGTGCAGAACACTAAACTCTCCTCATTACTATAAAGGAGTTGTGAAACATATTAGTAACACCAGTTGATCTAATGTAAGGAAAATACATGCAGAAAACGGACATAAATGCCTTGAGGAAATGGGAAGGAGGAGATGTCTTTCTCTCTGTCAGTGAGGGCTCCTGATGGCAGCACAGACTCCCCTGGGCTCCACTCCAGGGAGGGATTTTGGCTCACTCTGATTGCAGAGTTACTAGTTGCAGCCACAGAAGGTGATAGATCCTCCCCAGCACTGGTAGCCAGCAGGAAAATGTATGTGGAATGCTTTCAGCATGGGAAAAAAGCTGATAATCTTTGATGAAGGACACTTGAGGTGGAGCACTGCCATTCCTGGAGTCTGAGTAAACCATGGAACGTGGAGGCTGAGTAAATCCCACGGTGTTGGTTCCCGTCTCCGAAGGATTTCCCACAGCAGAACCAGAGGTGTTGCTGGTGGCTGAGGGCTGAGGCTGAGTTTGTTCTCAGGTGCCACAAACCTGCAGCTGTGCTGGGCTGTGCTGGGTGCCACCAGCACCTCCTGCTGACTCAGGGAGCTCTAAAAGCAAATAAATAAACAACAAAAACCTCAACCTCAATGACTTTGAAAGTAATGCTTGCTGAGGAAAAGACTTAATATTCTTGAGAGCTTTCCGCAGGTTCCCAACAGCTGTTGATGCAGAGCTCTATTGAAGTGGATGGGCTGGGTGAAGGCACAACTTTAATCATAACTTAATTTTCCCCTGGGGAGAGGAACAGAGACACAAATGACATGTGCTCCTATCATTGCCCGAATCACATCTGGAAGATGCTGACATAAATAATGATGAAGGCCATTTAAAA